TGGTGTTGTACTCAGCCGTCCTGCGCAGGCGACAGACACAGGACTGAGGAACGTAAACAGCAGTGGTTGCAGTTCAAATCCCTAAAAAATGAACAAGAAGCAGGTGGCGTGGCTCTGCGGCTTATCACCCTGTGTGCACACGACTGATACCAGCTGCTGTTTACTGTTGTTACACTTTAATTTACCTGTTCATTGCCTAAAAGATCCTTGGAAAATTTCCTAGACGAAACCGATATGGGTGAGGTGTGAACTATTTACTTTAACTTTACTCAAGTAGCCTTTATATTTTCATCTTATCTTTATGCATATTTCCTTTTCATGCCACTATAATTCCACTATCACTCAGGTGGAGTAGTCATTACCCTCCCCTCTCTCCCTTTGATAACTGAACCAACATGTTTTCATGGTATGTTTACATGCTGCTCTAAATGTGCTTTTTTTTTTTTTTTTTACTGTTTATGCCATAACATAATCTTATTACTCTTAAGATTAAAACATTTTAAAGTAGTAAGAAACAGTGTGTCTTCAGTTTCAGGTCTCCATGACATTAAGATAACAGGAATAATATCATACTATCATTTTTTGTGCCACTTTTGGAGGGTCTTCTTTGGCCCAGCTGCGACATTTCCTCAGTGCTCTGTCTGAGCTTACCAGGGCGTGTATTGCACAAAGTGTTTAATTCCATATGCTGGTGCCACGGGTGTCAGCTCATTTGCTTTCAACAAATATTACTAGTCGTCTAAATTACGTTGTTGTCTAATACACACCTGGTTAGAGAAGTTGTGTAAAGAAATTAATCTACAAAAGAAACAAATGCTTCCCTTAAACTGGTTGTTGTCTGATCTCCGTCCTCTTGCCCGTTTTGATTTCTCTTGCTATAAAAATCTCTTATTTCAATTGTTCCCTTCAGCTGTTTTACTGTTTTTATTTACATGGGTTTTCTGTGCGACCGTGAGATCGCATCACTGTCTCATTTTTCACATTTCCATCAATTACAGCTTGGTTGTCATTTTTCCACAAGGTGTGATTTGACTCCTTTCTGGATGGTTGTTGGCATCTGTTGGCTCCAAATAAATATGTTGCAGTGAGTTTACTGCTCCTGACAAATGTCTGGTGAAAAGAAACATTGCATTTCCAATGAAGTTTATGTCAGTGTCTAAAGTCAGTTATTATTTATGTAGACAGAAACATAAATCCCCAATTTTGGTCTCAAGGGACTGTACAGTATTACGACAGCCTGTGTCAAGACCCTCAATTCAGACGTTAAAAAAAGAAAAACTTCCAGACGAATACGGACTGGTCCGCATACTCATTTTTATACTGTCATACTATTCTTTATACTATTCAGAAAAAATAAATAATTAAACGTAACAGTTATGTAATTTTTGCCTCTAGTAAGGAGTCTCTCACATCAACAATAACAAATACGTAGTTTGATGACATTGATGAATTGATGGATTCATGGGAGTTGTGGTCTTTATTGTTAAAATAACCACCATTGGGACGTCTCTGACATGAGTCAGAAATTGGTTCACGGACATGATAATATCAAAGTTATCCAGTTACGTTTTAGTTCCACGGTTCGCCAGCCTTCCTGTCCTAACTCCTCTGACGTATCGGATGCATCCTGTGTTTACCCAGAAGTTGTGAGCAACTATAGCAAGCAAGGAAACACACTGTTACCGAGGTAAATACGCGATTTCTCTGGGTTTGAAAACATTGTGGAAACATTTTGGAGTTCACAACTCCACAGATTTCTATACATAGGTACAATAGATAACATAGTCTGGTGTTTTCTGACATTTTAAGCAGAAATGTTTATATAATTCATGCTTTAACAATAACAGGTAAAGCCCTGTAGTGGGATGTCATGAGCAGCACAGTTTACTCCAATAAACTGTAGCTAGCTAAGCTGTAGCTACTGAACATTAGAAAGAACAGTGGTTGGTAATGGAGGGTCATGGGGGGTCAGGTTGATTTTCCTGTGTGTGTTTGTATGCTCAAACACCTGTGTGTGTGCATGTGTGTGTTCCCACTCATTCATTCCCATCCCTGCTGCTGCTGCAGGTGCTTCATTCAGCTCAGTCCTTCATTCATAAATACAGGCTGTGGGGGAAAAACAAAAGGAAGGATGTTGCACTTCAGCGGAGCAAAGAATGGACGTATTGTGTCGCCACGACGCCACATCCACCGCACATTTCTCACACTTTTCATTTTAAAGTGGACTTGAGGCTCAAGTTCACAATGTTGGGAAATGATTGTTCAGTTCATTTCCACAGTGCACGCTGTTTCTGTTTTGGAAAGACACAAATCCTGGCCCACATATTGTCATCAGTCAGCAGCTGGAAACATGTGGCACAGAAAGCTGAGTGTCTGCACGATTACACTCCCATTCACTCTCATTGTTGTTGTGGGTCGCTATTGATCAATGACTTTCAACCTGGGGGTCAAAAGATTTAGTCATAGTTTAGTCATTAACGCCATTGTTACTTCTACTGTTACAAACAGGGAAGGAATAATTTATCATGCCATGACATTTTGTGGTGCAAAAGTGTGATGATATGCATATAAAGCAGAAAAATGTGTCACAATATCAAGTAAATGTAGTTATTTGGCTCCCAGGGTACATGAAATGTATTCATAAATAAATGAAAACAGGGTACATGAAGAGGAGCATAGTTTTGGAAAGTCAGAGGGTCAGTGTTGCACTTCTTGTCAATATGATCACTGGAGTGGTCTTGCACTGAGTGTCTTTTGGCCACAAACACCTCGAGTGACGAATGTTTGCTGTGACAACAAGCAGCAACTGTGTTCAATCAGCTTAGACGGAATGATTTCCAAACTTACAGAGCACCAGTTTTATTTATTTCAACAGGATCAGATGAGAATAACAGAAGATTTTGTTGAAAAGTTAAAATGTTTTCAAGTAAGGTGTCTTTACTTCAGTTCATGAAACCTGTAACTGTGCAAATTCATAATATCCTTTCTTTGGCTTTTCATGACAATTCAATATTGCCTTATGTTGATTAAAGCAATGTAATGGCATCATTGCAGAAATCAAGTTCAGACATAGCTCTGTCTTCAAATCCAATTTTTGTTTTATTAATAATCATATCAGTGTCAATGTGCAGTGACATGTGCCTTCTCTAGCTGCCTCCGTTTGAGCTTCACTGCACTGGTTGCCAATTTCTTTGCAAACCCTTTTTGAAGTCTTTCTTATTATACTAAAAGCTTCACAGGCCAAGTGCCAAGAGAACATAAGTGAACTTCGTATTCCCAAAATGTCTCTTAGATCTGTGGGCGAAACACCTTGGAGCTGCTCCTGAGCCCAGGTTAAAATCAAGAGGTGATTTAGGCTTGCTTTGGAACCAAAGCCTTTATATTTACATTATGTACCATATACCACATACATTATACATATCCCAACGTCAGTATGACGTTAACATATTGTAGGTTTTAAATGTAATTTCCTCAATCTCTTATTCTGCTGAATTGATTCATTATAAATAGCTTTCTACTGTATCTCCTTTAATTTACTCTGTTTATTGTGCGGCTATACCATGTTAATATCCCCTCTGGGCATACAACTTTATCTTATTTTTAGAAACAATTCTTAGTTGCATGTAAAATATTTCTTAATAAAGGTATTCTTGTGCATTCCTTTGTTAAGTTTTAAAATATTTTTTTTATTTAAGAAAGTCTAATATTTTTTCTCTTTATGAGAATACCATCGTCAAATAAATGGTGAAATGTGTGTCTCATGTTATTGAGAATAAGAAAGTTTTAGCCAAACTACTGTATTTATTTAAATATAGACTGTTCTGTAATCAGAAAGTCTCGGTGGCCAGTTCTGTGTTGACCCACCCACAGGTGTGTTTGAGAACGACATGTTCATAAAGTACAGAGCCCTCCGAAAGGCTGATTGGTAAAGAGCATGGATTTAAGTGCACTAATATGACAGTAATAACTCCACATTGAGCCACACAGAGGCCATGACTGACTCACAGACAAACAGGCAGTGTAACAGTTACCTAACATCACCTGGACTAGTTTTATTTTTGCCCCTCCATTCTTCAGAAATGACTCATTGGTGTCCCAATCAGAGCCCAGGTGAGTTAGGTTAATCCCCCCGGTCTCCCTTTCTCCACACCCTTGGACACTCATGACCACACCGCCCGCCCTTGAACCCCAGCCTGACTCACCTCGCCCTGCAACAACCACAGCCCCAGCTCCCGGCTCAGTGGACTCGGCCCGCAGGACTGCCAATCCTTTAGCCGCAGGTATGCTGGTTTAAGCTACATTAAGCTAACAATAGTCTGGAGGATTACCCTGTGATGAAACTGTGGTTTGGAGAGGTATTAGGGTATTTCTGGTGTTTTTCTGGTGTATTTACCCCCCACCCCCCCTTTCTTTTTTATCCAAGTGATTGTCTTTGAATGGTTTCAACTTGCTGACTTGTGTGCGGTCAGACTCCACAGATAGTTAATTCGTAACGTTTCTAACAGGGGCTTTGTCGTCGCTGGATTGTTAGCGGTGGTGTGATTTCTCCTTAAATGATGGGTGAGCTGTCAAGTACACAAATACACAGACTGACTAACACTCATTCATCATCATCACACACATACACACACAAATAGAGAAACTGATTCATAAGCAGCAATCCCATGGAGTCACAGCACATCTGGCGTCTAGTTTTAAAGATATTTGTGTTATTGATTGTGTTTTTACTGATTCCATAGGAGCTGAAGACCATCTCAACTGTCTCAACACCGAAGAGGTTGTTTCAAAGAGACCAAAAGTAATATCAGCTAAAGAATTTGAACATTTATGAGGCCATATATATTGTATTCTGCTTAATTTCACTATAAATATTATATTACTATTAATATTAATATTACTCAAACCAGCCAGTGTAACAGTTACATGCTAAAAAGATTAGTTTTAATATGAAGAAGGTGGCCTAATGCAACTCATAAAACAATTCTTTCTTTCTGAGGTTTTCAGTCCATATCCTCTACTGTAGAATAGAAGACATCAATATATCAAATGTACAAGATAAGTAATTTAAACCTGGAAAATACAAATTAGGTTATGAGCTACTACAGCTCCAGTGAGGCTTTGACAGTTCTTGTGGGGAAGGAGACATGTTGGTGGAAGTGTATATGTGACCCCAGAAAAAGCTATTAAGTTTACTTTTAAATTAAAATATGTTTTTACCACTTTTGAGATCAACCTCAAGAATAAACTGTAATGCTCCACTTTTAGGAATATTTTTTACGGGTGAGGATAAGGGAGCACAGGCAAGCTTAAACAGGAGGCTGGAACATCGAAGTCTTCTCAAAGAGTTCTCTCAAATATTATTTCTTGTTTTACTGGAAGACTGGTGCCTAATTATATTAGTTTCATTATCAGATAGATGGTAACGCATTAGGCCCAATACAAATAATGTGACCCAGACGACTTTTATATTACTTCAAAAATGACTTGTACCTGTGTACTTGTATCGGAGTGATGCCTTGCAGGAAGTATGATAATGTGGTATTAGTCTTTTTGTCACACGTTCACATTTAAGCCATTTGACTTAGACATGAAAAATACCAAAAAAGAACACACAAACAGATGCATGGAAGGATGGTAACACATACAAAGACACACTCACACACACACACAGCAGATCTGAGGTAATGACAGAGCAGTCAGTTGGCGGGATCCGTTCTGTCCAGCCGTCCTCCTTCATCCAGAGCTTTGACTCAGACCCACCGTGTGTGGTGTGTGTGTGTGTGTGTGTGTGTTTGTGTGTGTGTGTTTGTGTCTTTGGGAGGACCAGTTTAAGTTTTATAATGACATTTTTAGAAAGTGATGACATTTTGTCCTGTCTTCACGTCTTCAAAGAGCTGTTTGAGGGTTAAGACTTGGTTATAGGGTTATGGTTTAGGTTAAGGATTAAGGGAATGTATTCTGTCAATGAGGGTCCCCACAACTATAGAAGTACAAATGTGTTTCTGTGTGTGTGGTACGATGTCTGAATATTCCTTTCTACTTTTTGCTTTGAAGTTTCAGCAAAATCATCCCACTTCTCTGCTGCAGCACACACAAACACAAATACAAACACACACACGCACAGATGTTGTGAACATACTCATTCATCAGGCCGATCAAAAGACGTGAACACACACACGCACGCTCGCACATGTGAACCCACACACGCACAAAACTCATCCATCATGCAGCAGAAAGTGCACACAGAGGCACACAACAGAAACTGTGTGTATGTGTGTGTGTGTGAGTGTGTGTCTAATAAACAGGCCTATAAATAACATGAGAGGAGGAGACACACAGCGTTTCTGTTGTGGTTTGATGTTTTGTCGCTGGAGGATCCTGCAGACACACAAACATCCCCAACAGTAATTACCGACTCCGTGGACACTGACGACTGATGAGCCCCCTCTCGGCCAATCACAGGCTGAGGAGGGGACAGGGGCTTTCTGAACTCCTCCCTCCAGGCTGCGGCTGTTCATCACGGCATCCTGAACTGTCTGTGAGCCAGACGCAAAAATAGGAGAAAGTCCAGTTAAAATCTCCAGCCATACAATGTAATACTAAAAAATAAAAATAGCTTTTTTCTGAATATGTTGCACACTGAGACAGCCAAGCATGACTGTTTCACATTATGTACATCTGAAAAGTGCTTTCCACTTTACATCACTGCTCACTTCTAGTTGTCACCACTGCCAAGTTTCCAAAAGTACATTTATCAGAACATCACAACACTGAATATGCTTACTACTGGAGTTAAATCACAGCTGCATTTTAAAAGATAACAGTACCTGACAAACAATGGTTATAATAAATGAATTTTGAAATCTATTTTATTTATTGAATATGCTGTTGAGTCTGACTTAAATGGTGATTGTGACTGCACCTCACTTCTTTACTTTATTTTTTCTGCCCTGCATTAACCCCAAAGTTTGTTTTTATTTAAAACCCCAAACCTTACTCCAATCACTTGAGTACAGTGAGCTGATGTGCACAACATGTACCACAAACTACCTGCACAGACAACTGTAACCAACAATTACAGTGTAACAGACAATAATACCTTTCATACAAGAGTTACACATAATGCAGGTCTACTGGCACATTATTATATTACATAATTAAGAAATAAAGTTAAGTTTCAGTTCACTCCAACATATATATGACCTCTCCTTCTCTCTCACCTGCCCAGATGTGCACACAGTTTGTTTCTCTCTCTCTTTTTCTCTGATTTTGGGGATGTTTAAATACCAGTATCATTAAATTTATGTCCGTTCACAATATTTGTAGTACGTAACATCATACTGACACACCCCACATTACAACCAATCAGGTTTCTAAATGGCTAACCGCTTCAAGGAACCCTTTCATGTCAAAGGCATCAGACCTGCGTCCAACCCTGGCCAGGAGAAGGGGCATAAAGGAGATCTGGCCAATATAGTCCGCCAATGCATCGCTGGTATGAGTAAGCTTAATGGAGGAGAGAGTGACCATGGGGTACAATGACCTGAGGGAGGGGGGATTTCTTTATTTATGAAGGTAAACAGGAAACACACACACAATGAAAAGGATCCATCCCTTTGATTGTCAAGGCTGTGAGAAAAACTGGTCAAGCTGCACTGTGTGTGTGTGTGTTTGTGTGTGTGATGGTATTGTTGCTATGAGGCACCTGCTGCCCCCCACAAAAGTCTCTTTGACTTAAAAGACACACAAATACAATCCGTTAAAAGGAGCTGTACAGTTTATGCTGTGTATACTATCCATTCTCCCTTTCACATTGAACTGTGATTAGGTGGGAGAGAGATCTTTGAAAGTGGATGCTGTTTGTTCACATCATCAATAAAAAAAACATTGCAAACCAACATACTTACTAATGAGGCTGTCGTATTTCAGCTCAACGCACTCATGCTTACCATATTCACCACAGGTTGAACACCTTTGTGGACATTTTGTACAGCAGTTTCTTTAAAATGCTTGAATTAATCAATTACATAATCCACCACATGCACATTAAAATACAGTTTATTTTACATTTTGCTGAATTATTTGAAAATAAATACTTTTGTTTGTTTGTACAGTTATCCGTGCATTCTGGGAAATTCCCTCTCATTTTTTTTTTGAAGTCAACATTTTGCAACAGTCTGCCCGGAGAAATGACCACGACCGAACAGTGGATTATAAAACAGAATCAGAAGGCAGAGTCAAACGTGTTCTGACTGAATTGTAAAAGTAACAGTAAGATGGATTTAACAAAATAGCTAAGAGTCAGATGAGAAGATGGGAGACATGAGTAGCGTAGCTTAGCATTTAGACTAGAAGCATGGCCAAACTGTTAGCCTAGCTCCATGAAAGAATGAGAAAGCTCCAAAGCTCTTGAATTTAGACATAGAATCTGTTTTCTTTACTAAATGTATCCAACAACACGTGAGCACAGGACATCTCCTGTCAGGTACAAATATTACAGACTGCTGAATGAATCAAATCATTTAAAGTTTTATAAGTTTGACATTGACATTTACAACACACACATGCTCAGCCATGTACAAAACACACAGACACGGGCTACATTTATGAATATGAATGCAATAAACATGGACATATGAATGTACGTGTGTGTGTGTGCTCTGAGAATAGCTCTGAACAGGAAGTCTAAATCTAGCCTGGACCAGGAAGAAAAGTGTGTGAGAGGAACAAACAAATCAGGAAATCCTACCCCTTCCTCCCCCCTGCTCCACATCACCAAAAACACACACACACACACGTTGTATCAGGGATGCAGTGAAGGGTAAATCCACCTCCACTCACTTTTATTGGCTCTTCATTTGCAGACAGAATAACTCTTGACATTTAATCTGTATTTGATCTGTTTTATATTCATCATGTTTTAAATGTTTGATTATGTAATTTTCTCCCAGAAGACACCAAGCGTGTGCAGAAGTAACTCAAAGTTCTTCTTTATCCGTGGGCCTAGAGGTGTGTGCAGACAGACGAAGCAAATTTTAGAGGCAGCGCAATTGGTGCAGTTAGCGTTAAAAATGAGTTGAGTTCTGAGATCAGTCGGCTTACAGCTATCTAACATATTTTAATGAACTGTTTAGCTGTAATACGAGATCCTGTGTGACCAGGCGAGTGCCATTGTTTCCTGCTATGGAGTCGAAACTGCTCAGCCAATGAGAGCAGCTCAACTCGCAGTACGTCACCTCCATAACACCAAACTCGAGGCTTGAAAACAGTACTCCACAAACCGATGGGTGACGTCACGATAGGTACACACTTGTTAAAAGTATCAAATTGAGCAGTCAGCCTCTGGTCACTGTTCATCTCCATAAGACATGAAAATCAAATGGCTAAACATGCTTGAGTTGTCTGATCCATCACAGTGGACATAACAAATCTGCAGATGTAATGTTGAGAAAGATGATTTAATATGCAAAACCATATGGTCTGTCAAGTGTTATGTACACAATATAATAAAAAATAACCTAATGAATGGACTCACTTACCACTTCACCTATTTGTCAAGGGAGCTGAGCGGTCGATCCAACTCAAGTCAGGAGGCGGGTTCAAAATGGAAAAGAAAAAACACACAAAAAATCTGTAAAAGAATAAAAGGAAGCTTCAAAAGAGCCCGGAGAAGTGTTCAATTCTCTACTGACTTATTGTTGACATCTAAACATGTTCAGTTACATCCTGATACAGGTACCTTATGTAACGCTTTGTATTACATGTGTGAAAATAAAATGAAATTATTTTCCTTAACTGAGCCTGTTAGCACACACACCTGCTAACACACACACACACAACAGACTTCCCCTCAGGGAAAAAACGAATTCCTACTTCTCTCCTGCGTGTTTGTGTGTGTGTTTTTGTGTGTGGTGTTGTTGTGTGTGTGTGTGTGTTTGTGTGTGAGGCAGGGTTCTCAGCTGGCCGGCTACTTCCTCCTCCTCTCCTCCTCCCTCCTCCTCCTCCTCCTCTTCTTCTTCTCCTTTTGTCGTTTGTTTTTCCTCCTCCAGCTGGACTCCCAGACAGGAAACAGATGCTCTTTCAAAACCCCTCTCTTCCCTCATTCTCCCTTTTCTCTTCCTCCTTCCTTTTAATTCCTTTCCTCCCTTTCTTGCTCTCTCCCTCCAACTTTTAATGCCATTTATTTTTTTCTTCTCTGCATCTCATACTTCCCTCCTTGCCACTCAAACATCTATTTTCATCCTCCCTCCCTCTTGTCTCCCTTTCCCTTCTCTTTCTGTTTTACTGCACCTCTCCCTCTTGTTTTTTCCTCCTCTCCAGTCGCTTTTGCGTTATGTTTTAAGCATTTTTTCTCCTTTGTTTCTCTACCTGCTCTTTCAAATCTCCCTCTTTTTTTCTCTTACTGTTCTTATCTTCTCTCACAGCACTACCTTACCTACCACCCTTGTGTTCTTCTATTTGGGATGCCAAAGTAAGTGTTTTAATACGTTTTTACAAAGAGAATCAAAAACAGTATAAGCCATGGAGCATCCTTTGGATGTCAGTATTTGTTAAATGACTCAAGTATTTCGCATTATAAGATCTGCACCCACAAGAGCCGGGAGATTACTGTCAGTCACACGGCAGACTGAATGTGCAGTACAAGCTATGCTATTAATAAACTTCGCACATAATGGAATAACCAGTTCAATGATGTAACCAATGTAGATTAAGCACAAGGAGAAACAATTCAGACGGATCACAAACAACTTCTCCATCACCCCTCATTTTGCTAACTTTAGCCAGTATTATGAAGTGGGCTGGTTGTGATTCACAACGGCAGGAGATTTGCTCAGGCTTTGTGAGTGAGGATGCTGCTTCTGTGAGCTGAACGGACGCCAAGAAGCTGAAAGTAGATTTATGAGGAAAAGTGTAGGTGAACTCGAGGGGCTGAACGAACTGCTGGAGCCTGTGACCTACAGGCCAAGCGTGGCTGCAAAAGCTAAATCAGCCACAGGCATTTCTTACCAAACAAATTATTGGAACTATTGAAACAACTATTGCCAACATATTCATGTTGCTGAATATGTTATTTCTTTATGGGCCAGCCTAATATCTGCAGGAAGGATAACCACTAGCTCCAACTGCATTCATTGGGGTGCAGTTCAGGACTTTATTCTTATTTTTAATATTTTATTATATTATTATATTAGTATTATTATTTAATACAAGAAGAAAATGTAAATGAGATATTTCACAGATTGTATTATTAGCCTATCTTAACATATTTTTTTAATTTGTTCTGTGCAGTTCTATTTTTAAAACATTTATTCTTGTGTTTTATACAGGTCATATTCTAAAATGTAATATAATCAATCATGTTTTGCTGTTTTTAAACAAAACAAAAAATGGACATATTACCAGAAAATGTAAAAATACAGCAACAATACAGGATACATCAATACAAGTTCATTAAAATACCATTGACGTATGAGCATATAGATAAGTGCAATGGACAAAAAAAAAAATGCAGACTACCCAAAGACGTTGTGATCTT